CTGGTTAGTTTAGTCTCAACAAAGATAAATGATATGTAACATTAAAATACACAGACCATAAATAGGAAGGTGTAGCTGCTGCCATAGGTCATCATCAGTGTATTTCATAGCTAGATCTGACTGTGTTTTCAACTCAGGTGATTAAGAGCTGACCTAAAGAAAGTATCATTTAATGATGGGGCGGGGACAGGAGGAGACTTTCTTGCATAGAACAGCAAGCATGTCACATTTAAATCTGGGTTTTCTCACCCTCCCCCTAACAACAGAAAAAAATATTCATTCTTTTTCTTTTCTTTCTCAGTTTCTTTCTTTTTTGGGGGTGGGGGAGATGAACTTCATTATAATAAGGCACTTATTGGCCAATTAGATGGTAGTTTGAATACTAAGCATCTTTCTCATGATTTATCAGGTTATGCAGCAAAATGAAGGTACTTAACAAGATAATTGTGTTGGTTTACTATAGAAGCAGTTCATGTAGAAATTTTAAAGTATCAAACATTACAAGATTTTGATAAGCCCCAGTCCCCAGATCTTGGTTTCTAATACCATTTCCTTTTAATAAAAGGAACCAGACATGACTTAATTCTATGACTGGGGCAGGGAATAAACAAGATGAGCCTGAAACATCTTGTAGTGGACAAACCTGACAGACACGACCTCAGCCAGAAGATCAAGTTAACGTGAACAGTGAGAAACATACACTTGATGTGATGTGATGAGGATGGCACTTGAGCTGTGTCTTCCTCCCCAAATCCAGTAATCCCATCATGATGAGAGAAAGGCACTGGGCAAACAATTCAAGACTCTGCAGAACACCTCACCAGTCTTCCTCAAACTGTTGTCAAGGTTATCAAGCAACCAAAGTCTGAGAAACTGTCACGATCTGGAGGAGGAGGAAGAAGACATGTAACTAACGTAATGTGATATGGATGGGTCCTGGAGCCGAAAGAGGGCGTTAGGCAGAAACTAAGGAAATCTGAGTAAAGTATGGACTTCAGTTAATAATAGTGTGTCACTGTTGGTTCATTAGTTGTGACACATGTGGCACACTAACGTAAGAGATGAGCAGTTGGGGAAATGAGGTGTTGGGTATATATAGGGACTCTGTATAATCTTTATAATTCTTCTGTAAACTTAAAATCATTCTAAAATTAAAAGTTGGTAAAAAAAAAAAAAGAGGCTGTGGCAAGGATGAATCTATAGTTCAAGTTTAATTTTCATCACACTGGGAGCCTGAAGTCAGTAAAACAGCCCGTGATGTTCTAGGTTGATGATGGTATAAAGTGGGGCAACTTCTTTGCTGTTGTCTTGTAAAGCCATGAAGGTTTGTTTGCAGAATCAGAGAATGCAGGATTTCTAAATGTCCTCCTGTGGAATTTCCTACTGGCATGACTTTTTTTCCCCTTTGCTTCTGCCCAGTAGCAGTCCCTTGAGTGGCATTTGCTGTCCTAGTTAATCAGAGGGTAGGAGAAATGAAAAACTCTCCTCTTCCCCCTCCTACGAAGTTTCAATGGGCGCTGGAAATGTAGGTCAAATTGTATCACTGTAGAAAGGAGCGAACAGGAAGGTATTTATGAAATGCTGCCAACCTCTTTAGATTCCGAGTCATGATGAACCAGTGTTGAGCCAGCATAGGTGTGAGATACAGGGAATCAGGGAGTCGTGTTTTTGATGTAGTCCCAGAATGTTACATTTTAATCAGTGATAAAAAGATCTCTGTCTAAAGCCCTAGTGAAAAGAACTTACACTAGCTTTGTGTAATTTGCATCTTCCCGCTTCTGGAATTCTATTTGTCTCTTATTTATTATTGGCATGTTGCAGAAATTTATATTAATTTAGCCAGAGAGATGTTTGAATTGTAGAAACTATTGCCATGTGTACTTAAAAAATAAATCTCATATTTGGTGATCACATAAATCTAATAATGTATTTTGCAAATTATAAGTAATCATATGCTCAGTAGGCTCTTGATTAGCATACAGAAGTCACAAAATAGTTTAAATTATACTTACAAAGTATACTGTTTCATGGCTCTCCATTTTTTAAATGGCAGAATCCTACGGATTTTAAAATAAATCTTTAAATACATGTTCTTATTTTTCACATCTTGTGTACTAACTACTTGCCCTTTTTAAGACACCCAGATATTGGCTGCCAGAGTGGTCCGTGTTACTGACATTGTCCTAAACAGTAAGCATCCTGACAGCAAAACCGATTCTAAAACCTGTCCCATTTTCACTCTCTCCTTGCCTCTATTAAGATAACCAGTAGTTCATTTGTAAACAAAATGGAAAGTCGGATGATACAGTATATTTGCATAGGCTTGGGTATTATTAGATCTCACAGGTTGAACAAATTATTCTGTGAGATATATTTATAATCCAACATTTAGCTATTATCTTAACTTTTTATTTTGAAATAAAGAGTCACCAGAAATTATGAAGATAGTACAGAGAAGTCCTGGTTACCCTTCACCCTGTTTCTCCTGTTGACTAAATTTTACCTAACGTACGTAGTATAATATCAAAGGCAGGAAATTGATATTGATACATAAAGTGTGTATAATTCTGTGTTATTTCATCTCATGTGTAGAAGCATAACCACTACAGTAATCAAGGTACAGAACTATTCCATCACTACGAAAAATCTTTTCCTGTGCTATCTCATTCCTGTCACCCTCACAGTCCCCGACTCCTGGCAACCACTAATTTGTTCTCTCACTCTATAATTGTGTCATTTTGGGTATGTTATGTAAATATAATCTTTTGAGACTGGCTTTTTTCACTCTGTATTTTTAAAAGAATTTTATTTTAAAAAGAATATGCTAAATATTTTTAAGGAATATTTATAATTTTTTTTAAAAAGTTGTTATCCAGAGTTTGACTCACTAACTTTCAGACCTATATTTTGCTAGCTTGGGTGTTCTATACTCTTTGTTGCTATATTTGAACAGCAGCTAAAGTCGCATGTGCCAACGTAATAGCTGATTATAGCATTAACCTTATTGCCTACTGTTAAGGGTGATACTGTGAATTTAAAGGGAAAATTACCCTGGAAAAACCCGTCTTATCAATAAAGTAAATATTACAATTGATTACTGAGCAAGACTAAGAAATCCAAATATATACTTTATTGTACCAAATAAAGTAACTGACCCACATTCGTGTTCCATTTCATCTCAAGAGAACTCGTTAAAGAACAGAGACTTTTTGGAACACCATATTTAAGTGAACAGTTGAAATATTTACATTAATTAGCCAGTATAAAGATCGTGTCAGAGAATTGCTGTATGTGGTTAATGTCAAGTGTCACCATAAGAAAGCCAGCGTCTGCATCATGTTAATAAGATTCTTTGACTGTCTTGACTCAGAAGAGGGGTCCTGTGGGTAAATGAATGTTGGAAACAAACAGCCTCAGAAGGAACAAATCTTCCTCAGACGCCAGTGTGTTGTTTTCTAACAAAATATAAAAAAATATTCTAGGAGCTGTAGGAGGGCACCTTTGTATTTGGCTACAAACAATGATACCACGGCTCTAGGGAATCCCGTGTGGCCAGACCATCGGAACTGAGCAGGTAGAAGGTGGCTCCCAGGGCGCTTGCTAAGCTGGCTGTAGGTGAGGGTGAGGCAGTGAGCCCTGCTCTTGGGCTTGCCCAGAGCTCTGCACAGGTTGTTGTAAATGGCACATCCTTGTAACTGGCATTTGATTCCATTAGATTCTCACGCCTAACATTTTAGACACTTCCTTCCTGATAGGAAAATATCCTTTACAATTAAAATGAATCTCTTTTTACCAACTTAAACTTTTCTTTTTTCTTTTCCCATCAAGCAGCATATGATCCTACTTGAAGTAGCTGTTGGAATGGAGGAGAAGGGAAACAAACATTTATCAATCATTGAACATATGCCAGCCGCTGTACTGTTTATGTACATTCGCACGTGTAATTACAGTACTGAAAAACTGCAATTTTTCCTATGAGGAAAATAAGTTATAAGAAACACCAGCTAACTGCAGGAGTGAAAACTACTTAACTATCAATGCAATGTGTACAGTAAGGCAATCCATAATTAATTACTAAATAAATCTTTTGGATTGTAAATGCTGTAAATATTCAGAGGAGGAAATGGTTGTTGATCTCTGACCCTTGATTTTGTCTCCTGTAATATGCAGAGAATACCTCCCTCATAGTAAGAAACGAATAAAATAGATGTGTATTGCCTATTACTTAGCACACTTTCAATAAATTATAGCTGTGCTGTTGATAATGAAAATTATGGTGATGTGCTTTAAACAATAATACTGTATTAGCTGTATCAGTGTCGGGTGACTGCTGTCACTACGCAAAGCCTCGGTAGCTTGATACAATGCATGTTTAGTTCTCACTCAAGTCACAGCTCAGTGTGGCTTGGCAAGGAGGCTCTTGCTTCACTCAGTCATTCAAGCGTGAAATTTTGTGGCTTTGCCCACCTGCAGGTGCTCAGCACCCTCCCCGTTTGACCAGTAGAGGGTATGAGAGACAAGGAGGCCAAGCCTAGAAGAGGCACCCAACATTTTGGTTCACATGTTAGGACTCAGTCATATAGCTACATCTTACTACCGTGAATATTGGGGAATTTAGTCTGATTGTGTGCTCAGGAAGATGAGAATGTGGATACAGGTGAGCTGTGGCAATCTAGCACAAATATCATTTAGAAGGGCTTAACAAATGAGGAGGAATTGTCCCTGGACCTTTTAGAGAGTGAGGTTTCCAGTAGGTTACTCAGCCTGCCTTTAGGTGGCATTATTTCAAGAGAGAGGATGGAAGAATTTAAAAAGCCTGCAAGCATTATGGACGAAAATTACACGTTTATCTCACTAGCCACTGCCTTCACTACAAGCTATTTGGTAGTGACCTTGGACAAGCCATTTAAGTACTGTCGGCTTCCATTTCCTCACTTGTACGTGTCCTTCACAGGGCTCTGGTGAAGGTCACACAAGTGCTGTGTGTGTCAAGTACTTAGCACAGGTTATTATTATTGATAATGTGTATGGCCCCAGAGCGAAATACTTGCTAGCCATTCATTTGTCATCTTTCCTAAAGGACCACTTAGAGTAGCAAAGAATGACTTGACTGAGTCTATTTATATGAGTTTTAGAATTCTGTAACCCCAGTTCAGCAATTGGAGATTAGTGTTCCCTTGGCAGAATATTGGGGGGGATCCCTCTCTGTCCCCCTAGGCTCACATTCCCCTGTTCAACGCTATAGACTTTTTATTCCCCTGTGAAGAGGGCAGCGGGAGTACTGGGCTTTAATTTACCTCTCCTCCCTCCTTCGTGGACCTTCCTGAGTGTTGAGGTCTGTCAGTTGTCTGGGAAGAGTGAGGGTAAATGTCAGAACAGCTTTTTGCTCAGGCCAAAGTTCTTGGCAAGGCAAGAACATCCCGCCCCAGGCCCCTGTTAACTTGAGTGGATGGGGAGCTGTCAGAGCCTGGGGTTCCATTTAATTCAATTCTATTCAGTAGGCATTTATTACCAGCCCTGGGGATGCAAGGATGAAATGTCGCAGAATCCTCTTCTAAGACACCCACTTCGAGAGGTGAGTTTCTTGGCGTGTAGGAAGAAGGGAGCTCAAGGTGGTGGAAAGAGGAGGAGTGGAGGATTAGGGGTAGGGATTGTTTTGCTGAGTGGCAGTGGAAGGAATGGTCTTTTAGCTCAGCTCTAAAGTGCACCTGGCCCAGGTCTGCCCCTTGGCCTCAGCTCACACGCCTCAGTTTTCTCTCTGTTACAGGAGTGCACTGAAAGTTCCGACGTCAGAGCCCTGGTAGGATTAAGTGAGATGATGCACGTAAAGGGTTTACTATGTGTTGTAAAACTGGGCACGTAGTGAGTGCTTAGTACCTGCCAGCTACTCCTGTTGTTACTGTTTCTGTGTGCTTCTGTAAACCGATCTGTAAAGCAACTGCACAGACAAATTAGAGAACTGCTGGGAATTCTGTTACACTTTTGGTTCTGTCTTAGGCTCCTGGTGAAACCATGTACTGTACTCACAGGTGATGGAAAAATGGGCTGCTGACCCCTCAGCTAAAAGGATAGGGAGCCCAGTTAGCCTCAGTGAAGTCAGGGAGAGTTGGGGCTTGAGATGGGAGAGCCGTGCTCCCTGAAATGGCAAGGCGAGTGAGGGGTGGCTATATTGAACCCTTTGGAGAAAAGAGAGGGGCTGAATGTGTGCGGATATGTACAGGCTGTCAGGAAATGTAGGCTCCTTTAAAAATGTGAAGACTCCACGTGAGGCGTCTCACAGAGGATGAGGAGAGCCCGAGACTGACTGTCGGCTCTAAAGTGTATCCCTGAAAGCTGGGCCAGAGGTGCTGGAGTCCTTCCCAGTGAGTGGTTTCAGCTCCCTCTTTACCAGTTATGTTGTCAAACTCTTGTTTTGTGTTCCGTGGTGTGACCCTTAGAGTAGTCCTCAGTAGGTTCAAAACTCTGCAGTGTCGGTGGGGATTGGTTTCAGGGCCGTACTGTGGATGCTCCAATCCCATAGTTGGTCCTCTGTATCCATCAGTTCCATGTCCACAGCCTCAGCCAAGTGCGGGTTGTAAACATGGTGCCTGATCAACGGTTGGTTGAATCCACGGATGAGGAAACCTGTATTGTATAGAGTTTCATTCTTAAATGTGTTTTGCCAGAGAGAAAGCCCGTTAGGGTGAAGGCAAAGTGGAACGTGCATAGGAGGAGGGTGAGTAAACTAGGGACCACGTCAAATAGGATTTTTGGAAAATGCACCTACAGTTGACAATGTAACCTGCTTTAAATAGACTGGTTTATGTTTTTTCGCTTGGGAAAAGAGACTTAGGAAAACAGCACAGGCTCAGGGTGACAAGCGTGTCTGCCTACAGGAGACAGACCTGGAAGGAGGGTGAGTGATGCGGCCAAGGTGAGCGCTTTGGAAAGTGCATGCGCAGTGAGGAGAGGCAGCCCAGGGCACAGCATCCACCCCATCATCCCTGTGCCGGAGAGCTGGCCTCCTGCCGAAGATTTGGACCTTCCAAGAGGAAATGGGAGGATGGAATTTTAAGTGACCCTCCCCACCTTTTAAATATTAGCAACAAATTCCTCTTTTTTCCCCATAAGATCATGAGACAAAAAAGTGAACCATTTTCGGCCCATGTCTCTGTTTTTGCAGTGAGAGAGAGTGGAGAGGAAAATGTGTAACCTGGGGTGAGGCGGCTCCGCTGCAGACACTCCTGGTTCTGGTGCTTGGGAAGCGCAGTGCCTGCCGCGGAGCATGTGCTCTGCACATTTTCACTGACTCAGTGAGCCAGCTGGGGTAAACCTCTCAGTTTTCAGTCCCTTCAGGTATTGAGTGGGGAGATAGGAATTGGCCTTCCCTCAGCTCCAACTTAGAAGCTGGAGTCAACTTAAAACCTGCGTTGGCCTCCTTGGAGGGCCCACCTTTCCAGCCCTTTGTATTCCCTTTCACACCCTCCGCAAGCCCCTGGGGTGCATTCTCACACTAAAGCTCCATGGTTGGCCTAGAATTAAAGAAGGTTTAAGAAATAAAAAGAAAGTGTATACTGTTGTGCTTAAAAACAGGACCAACTCGGTTTAACCTGTGTTTTCTTTCCTCTGTCATGGTTAGTGCATTTTTGCTTAATTTTAGCAGACTCAAGTATATAACAAGAAGTGATCGAGATTATGCCTTAAATTGCAACAAGGCTCTCAGAGTCTTAAAAGGACATAGAAATGTTACTCCTAGAAAATAAGTCATTTTCTATGTAAAAGGTGATGTAGCACTGCCCATGTGACAGTGTGGGCTTTTCTCTGTTTAAAGTTAATGAGTGGATATTTCTGAACCCTTGGGCATACCACGGGATCTTCCTTTATATCAAATTCTGCTGATTTTATATCTATCTGCCTTTTAATTTTTCTAATACAAAAGTTTTACTGCCTTGAGCAAGATTATTTTGTTGCAGTTATCAGAAATCAATTGCAAAAAATTTAAGCTCAGATGAGGAGGGCCATTTAGCTTACAGGTCCAGGGGATGCTTAAAACCCCAGGGAAGGATATCGTTGGGTCCTCCAGGGGAATATGCATGGGACAGGAAAGCCCTAGAACCATCTGGGCAGAAACCATTTCCCTTTCTGTCTTCTGGGGCTGTGTGGCCTCCTGGGTCTGAGTGACTCTGAGCAGCATGTTCATTTGTCAGTCTTTGCTGACTTGCGTTTTCCTAGAGACTGAGAGAGCACATGGGGGAGCCTGCAGGCTAGACCAGAGTCGGCTCTCTACTGCCCAGTTTCTAGTTCTCAGGAGAATAAGTTGAATATCTCAGTTGGGATCATGTGTCCAACTTTGGCCAAAACAGGAGAGGAGTATGGAGTCCCACAGTACAAACATGACTTGGCATTGCATTACATGGTGCTTACAGAAAGGGTCGCCGTGGGCTAGAGGCAGCTACTGTAGAAGAAAGGCATCTTCTGCACCCTCGCTGCCCCCCTCACCAAAAGGGATTAAATAGATTAAACTTATGCCTCACAAGACTTTGGGAAACATTCAAATTATGTCTTTCCTTTCTTCTTGTTTCTTTCTCCTCTCCCACCTCTAATGGGCTGTCATGTAAAAACCTTTTTAAAAATTGTATTTATTGAATGCTTGTTACATAAGCATTCGGTGAAGAGAAATGGGTGGTGAATGAGTAAAAGCTATCAAGTTTTATGTTTCTATTCTTAGAAAATGTTCTCCAGTCTTCCTTCTAAATTATTTCTCTTTTCTCTTTGCAAAACAAAATTAAGTTGCTGTTTGGGCAGTTTGGTGTACTAGAAAAGGAACTAAATAGCACCAGAGGCCTCCATTCTGGTTCCAGTTTCAAACCATTTATTTGCTGGGTGATCTTGAGCAAATTATGATCTCTCTGAGTTTGCTTCCTCGGTAGTAAAATGGGGATCATGATAACAGCTCTTTTGAGCACAGTGTTATTGTGAAAATAAAACAAAAGAATATATACAAACACATGGTAGTCTTTTTCTACTAAAGAAGGATTTCTGACCCACATTCTGAGTAGAAATGTTACTATTTTTAAATGCTTATTTTTAGTAACTGCCATACCATTTTTCTTTAAGAATAGAGTTGCCCTTAAATTATTTTTTTTTCAGTATTCAGGCTAGTAAATGGTGATTTCTTATAAAGGCTAATACTGTCTTGGGGGAGATTTCATAGCACTCAATATCTGATGACTTTCTTGGATACTTTGGAGATATGGCTGGGGTGTCCTGATGGAAAACTGGAAACTAGCCTGACCTCGAGAAGTCAGATCAGGCACACTTGATGCTGGTGGTGTTCTGCCTGCACCCCCAGCCTGCCTTGAGGGAATCACCGTCAGAGAGGAGGTTAGCTCTAACATAACGTCTTTATTGGCTGCTGCTTTCCTGGGAATTTGTAACTTCCTTTGAGTGATTTTTTGCATAGCTGTAAAATGTTCAGGATGCAAAGAAATGAATTTTGGCTCAGGACAGACCTGTTAAACAAGATAGTGGCTTCTATAGGAAATGAGGCAGAAAAGGAACGCCAAAATGGAAGTCACAGAAAATTTTTAAAAGATAGAAGACTGGGAAGTAATTAGAAATCTTGAGAAAGAGAAACAGCTGGCTTATGAAGATTGTAGGAATGATTACTTCACTGAATAATTACGTTGCTGAATAACATTTTGTGCGTGAATGAAACTGTTTAAAAAAGGGAGAGGAGAAGGATACGATTCAGGAATAACTTAAAAGCCAATAAAGGTAATTATGAATAAATGTTCAAACATTGCATAGAATTTCAGCCACTGACTTTGGGAGATACTTTACTAGCACCTCAAACCATAGAAATATTTGGCTTACCATCTTAGAGTGTATGATGATAAATAAATGTTGAGCAAAGCAATATTCCTGCCACCCAATGTTGGTGGATAGCCAGTGAGGATTATAGAAAGAGAAGTGTGTTACTAGTGAATTTTTCATATGAAATCAAGCTGCCTTGTGCTCTTATACTTTGATAGCATCTGTTCCATAGCTGTGTCATTGCCCATAGTTGCTGTTCTTTCTTTCCTGCTGCATGTCAAACTTAAAAACCAGCTTAATTTCTAACTCGGGTTTGTTAATCTCCAACCCCTTGATTCCATAACTCAGTGCTCC